TCTTTGAATGTAAGTCTATGGGGCCACTCGGGGCGATTCTCAGCCGGAGTGAATTCGACCAAAAAGAGGCGGTACTCCACAGAACGTGACATGACGCTGATTGGACTATATCCAGAGGCACAGTGACGGCTAGCGTGACTCTGTGGTTGAATGACATTGGTGGTGTGTCGCCCAATCGCCCTAATGAAGAAACCGCCCCTGTATGGGAGTTTAATGAACCACGGACTGTGACTCTAACCCACTATCTGTGCTGTCCGTCCAGATCTCTCACAAAGCAGCGCAATCATTCATGTGATATGATGGCCCATGGAAGTGGATACCACAGAGCTACCTCTGAGATTCCTTCCATAGTCACGTGACAGCACTTTCCACACAGACTGCACTGCCATCTGCTGGCCACCTTGCAGCTCACCGATCTCAAATCATCCCACGGTGACCTCTCATGGTCAAGAGCTCACGATGGCCAGTGTCTTGAATGCCACCTCTCCTCGCCATCGCTTCCTTCCTTCTGACAGATACTTCATCTGTGCCACCGTCGGCAGTCTCGTACTGAGGCACGGTGCTGGTCAATGACGAACTGGAACTAGAAATCGACCCCCATGCATTTGTAAACGGACCGGGCCCAAATTGCCATGCGATCTCATTGGCCCATTTGGGCTGGTCCAAAAAAGACAATGGGCCGGTGAGGAAGAATCTTTGGGGCTGCCTAATATGACACATTGCAGTACAGATTAGAAACATAGTGCAAACATTTTATGAAAAAAATGATATCCTTTTTTAAAACTTTTAATTACACTTGCAATCCCCCTTATAGACCGCCCCCCCCTACTGGCCCTCAAAATAGAATACCCCACCGGGCATTTGCCCTATGGACCGCTTCCCTGTGGTCAGTCCGGGGCCTGGTGCTGGTGACTCCGTTTCACGTGGCTTTCTGTGGTCCAGCACTGTGAGGGCAAGCAGTGAGTGTTGGTGGATCACCGCACGAATGTTGCAACAAATCTCTTCCCATGGGCGTCGAGAAGGAGCCGAACCCTGACTCAACAGCAAGGTACCGACTATCTGTCCCTGCTGGATGGGATAGAGTGTTGCCCCTTCACACGCAAACTCCGGTCATCCTCGCAGCGGCTTTTGGCTAGCCATGGAACAAAGACGGTTACCGCATCGCGTCCTTTCAGATGCGCTTCTGTAGCCGTCTGGAGCGCTATTCTTTCCGAGTTTAAGAAGCCACTGC